GTTTTGTAGGAAATGGTTTTACAGTTCTTGCTTTCCTTAGACTGGGATGCACCCACACTGCAAGTGACATCTGACAGCCCACCCCAAAGGACTCCAGTGCCAGGCCCAGCAGATCTCTCATCTCCTTGTTTTTAAACTAAAGTGAGGATTGGGAATCAAAATAAACCACTGGAAGCATCGGGCTTGTCATAGTTGGGACAGTTTGTGGGTTGAAGTGATAAATAGGCTTTATTAGACTGAGCAGGACTGACAAAATATGTGGCATTTACAAGTTAAATGTCTAACCCTGGTAGCGTTCCCAGAAATAATAATTGAGTAGGAACTAAATGCCTTTCCTTAATTAAAACATTTTACTAGGAAAATAACACTGTGATAGGTATCTTCAAAGAACTTCATGTCCCAGTAAACTTAGCATGGAGTTGCTACACCAAATTTCAGCAAGTGCTCCCATGCTCGTAACACGGGTTCCTTCTTGGCAGGGATTCAGGAGCTCAGGGGCTCGGATGCAGCAGAGTGGCCTGAACTGGTCTTCTCCAGCTTCTCCAGCGTGTAAATCCACAGCCTTTATTAAACTCATATCTATATTTGGATATTTTATTCTGTGTTAGCATGTTCGCAGCATGGTGAACCCACAGCTCTTACATGTCTGACATGGCTTTTTGTAGGGCCCGAGCTCCCGTGCTGCTCTCCCTGAAGGCGTCTTTACATATGCAAAAAATGCTGAAAATCTGTGCGGAAGCGCTGGTGACAAATCCCCTGACACTGTGACATGAGGAAGGAACAAACCATCTCAGTGAATAATTTTGCAGTTTATTAGCATATGGAAGTGTTTGGATTAATTTTGCTTACATGAATGACAAAGGAGCTGTTTTATCACCTACCCTGGTCAGTTCACTACTATTTGTTCAATTGAAATCTATCTTTATTTTTAATTATGCATGGACGGGGCCCATTCCTAAGACCAGAAGTGCCATGACACTGATAATTAATTAAAAGGCTGCTGTGGAATCAGTAGATAATCATGTGATTGAGTCGTGTGTCTCAGACATGTCCAGACTCTAGGAAGACAAACAACCCCTTTGCAGGAAAGGATATTTATTTTTTAGGCTACAGAGCTCACAGGAGCTCAAGCTGTCTGTGTGACTTCTTCACTTCTGCTATGCAAACACAACGTGGAATAAACCTAAATGACTCAGCCTGAGAGTAAGGGAGAAGACAACGATATTGCTTTGCCTCTCCAGCTTATTAGCTCCCCAAAGCTGTGCACGCAGCCTGGTTGGGCTCGGTTCAAGTTGCCTAAGTATAGGTGTCTCAAATGATACTAGGTCTTTATGTTTAGCCAACAGAATCACATATTTATAGAGGTTTCACTTATCAAAAATAAGTGTATTAGAATGACGGCGAAAAACCTGCATTTCTCTTCCCTGAATGCAGTGTTTCTGCAAGTCACAGTGAGGGCATCTTGCCAGGATGCCCAAAAATCTCCAATCCTCCTTCTGAACACTGCACAGCCCTGACGCATGAACTGCAATTGCAGTCATCTTCCCCGTGGCCAGACTGAAGGGGTCTGCGTGTGATAATCATAGGGGTGATGTGACATTAGGAGACCAACATTGCAATGATAGCATTGCTCACAACCAGCACAAGTGAGAACCCCCTCAGCCTTCTGAAAATTTAATGGCATATCACAGACATTTTTTTTGCTGCAGTTTAATGTGTTCAAGGGCCAGCCATACAAGTTTTTGCTGACGGGGAGCCAAAGTAGAATGATGGATACTGGAAAGTTTTCAAACTATTTCAAACACTTTTAGAAACCAATTTTCAGTGTGATTCCTTCCTTCCTTCCTTCCTTCCTTCCTTCCTTCCTTCCTTCCTTCCTTCCTTCCTTCCTTCCTTCCTTCCTTCCTTCCTTCCTTCCTTCCTTCCTTCCTCTTTGCTATTTAAATGTAAATATCTTTATTAGTTGTTAGATGCCATACATGCAAACCTAGCAATCATAAGAAGCCTGTTTTATGCCTCATCCTTGCATTAGAAAATATTTTGAACAGGAAAACTACTCTTTACAATATCTGTGAAGCAGAATCAAATAAAAAAGCAATGCTGTATTCTTTTCTGTGGTTAACCTCAAAGCTGTTTCAGGTGATGTTTTTCTGGATATACTGCACTAAAATGAAAGGAAGAACTGCATAGCTACCCTGCATTTGTGTCTATGTGCACTCCTGATGGGATTTACCTATGTGCAATCAGTGTGAGCCGGAGAAGCCTTGCCTTAGGGCATCCACAGTAGCAGACATAAGCCTGATCCCTCCGTGTATGTCATTCATGCAGCTTTAAGAGGCTTGGCACAAGGTTTTAGGGCTTTGGGTTCCCCTCACCCACTTTCTGAGCTGGAGCAAAGAATTATCCATTATCTGTGCAGGTGTTACATGTAGCATGAGGTTATTTTTCAATGCAGGGGGCTTTCCTCAGACCAAACAGTCTAAACAGGATTGACTACCCCTCTTGGATAGAGGCTCAGCTATGGCCATAAAAATGAAAGATGAAAATCCACATCAGAGACAGAGAGCATCCAATCCTAAATTCATTTTCAGACATGATCCTCTTGGATCTGAAGGGTTGACCTTGCCCCTGATCTGGGCTGCAGCAGCTCTGATTCCTCCCAGCCTGGAAGAGCAGGCAGAGGAACTCATCGCTGCTGGGACACCACGACGGATGGTTCTCACCTTTCCTGCTAGACAAAGGCCAGGAACAAGCATTGGGAACCATTTGCTCGTCTTTCCCCCAGACACTCGGTGCCGATGATGATAACATCGTTCCCCGTGATCCGTTTGGTGGTGAAGCCTGGCTCGCTACTGAACCTTCTGCCTCTTCCCCTTGATGCTCTGCCAAAATGTCTACCTAGCGCATGATTAGCTATTTTTGTGGTCCTCTGGCTCCTTGCTTTTTCTTCTGTTCATTAAAAAAGTGCCTCACGAAGCCAGGGCCTGTAAGACTAAGCATTTACTTTTTTCTCTTCTTTGCCTTTTGCTTCTTCTTTACCATTCCACACAGAAGCAAGCACAAAAGAGCAGAAGATTTATCTTGGAAGCCCTATTATTCATACAGAGGATCCTGTCCTGTGTCTGAGAAACAAGCTGTCTTCAGCTTAGAAAGTCACAGGAGCATCTAAGACCATGAAATATAAACTGAAGCAGTCCCCAAAGAATCTAATTTGAAAGAATGATCTTATTTTTTATGGCTATTATTCAGCATTGCTGCAAGGCAAAATTTGAGTGATAACAAATAAAGAGGAGTCAAAGATAATTCAGTTTGCTGTAACCTTCCTTTCTTCTGTCCCTCCTACCTCTCTGTAGAGAAACACAAATAAACAAGCTCTTTATTCTTCTTTTCCTACTCTATCAGTTCTCTCTTGTTTAGGAAAAAAAAAATCCAGCAGAGTAATTAGATTGTAATATAAATATCATTGGTGATCAATTGATTTTCACACTTCCATGTAGTTGAAGTCATAATGCAAGTAACCAAAGCAGGAGTGGGACCAGATTGTAAACAAAACGAGATTTTGCAAGTAATTTGTCTTTGCCCCAGCACCAGAACTTTGATCCTTTAACTACCATTTCAGATTATTTCCAGGAGAATTCTTCACTATAAAAGCTTTAAGTTTTGGTGGCTGAATGCAATCAGACACATTAAAACCCCGGTTAATATCGGCAGATAAAGCAGGCACTTTCAGTCCTTCAGCTTCCCTGAGCTCTCAGGTGCAATTAAGCTTTTCTAGCTAGACATCATGGTAGGATCTCACCTCGGGTGTTTATAGTGTAGACATCTACCACTGAGCTGGTCTAGACTCACTCTGCACCAGTCATTAGTGGAGAGAAATGAGCTCTTCTAGAGCATGATTCATCTGGTGCTGCCTGGGACCTCCACATGAGGAGAAGATTAATCTCTCATTTCTGTTCTGAGGTGTTGAATTTGCTTCACTGAAGTTGAAAATGCAGTCAAACATGGGGAAAAAAGTATCTAAAATAAATGAACAGATTACTTCATAATTGACATAACTGATTGTTCATACACGACCATAAACACGAAATCTTTAAGCTCCTTCTTCCTCCCATACCTCCATCTTCCTCCCATACCACTAGTTGTCACCCAACATTTTATTGCTGCTAAGTGATGGAGTTGCTGTCGCTATGGGTTTTATCTCTTAGGCAAGACCGACCTGGAAAACTTTGGTGGCAAGGACTGCCAGGGTCTGAATGTATCCTGGCAAAAATACATACGCGCAATGCCAAGCTGTGGGCTGCAAGGACTTCAGGGAGCTGGGCAAACATCCTGCGGTGTTGATGAGGAATCCATTTCAACAGGAAGCTTTCTCCGAGGTCTCTGCTTCCCAGAGGAGCGTGACCATATCTTGAGATGATGGGAAAGGAAAAAAGAAGCTGCTTTGCTTTGTTTTTTGGCCACTAGTATTGCGAATAGCTGCAATACAAAAAATAAAATAAAAAAAGCTTTGGGAAGGGACCCATCCACTGCCACTGCACAGCACTCATGTTCCTGTAGACCCATGGCCCTACCTGCCCAGCTCCAGCCTCTGCCTCCCTCCTTTGTCCTGGGAGAGCACCAAGCCACTGAGTGAAGACCATGGGTATGGGGAAGGGATCGTGAGAGCCCATCTCAACTCAGGGCATGAGGCACACACTGGGGAATGCAGGACAGGGGGGTGAGGTCTTTGTCCTAGGGGACTTACATTCTTTATGTGGAACAAGCCAACGTGAAGGGGGATGCACAGGTGCATGGAAGAGAACATTTGGCTTGGGGAATCTCCACCAATGTGCCTCCACCACTAAAAACATCCTCACTGACAACGCTCAATTATATAATATATATATAACCCAAGGACACGCATGACACACACGCAGAAGTCCTATTTGTCAGAGAAAACAGGAACAAGGGGTATTTGCCCATGCTCCGGACTCGGAGTCAGTAACTTGACAGCAATACAGTTTAGGAAAAAACTGACATAAGTTTTAGATTTTATTCATTCGTACATTATTTACAGCAGTTGCTTTCATATTACAATTCTCTTTCATCTTTTCAGTTTTCACTTATAAAAAATTAACCAAATAAACCTTATATAACCAAATTTATCACAGCAGGTCTGGTTAATTTTCACAGTTACAGCGGCCATCAGGAACAGAACGTGAGTACCTCCGCCTCGCTCACCCCGGCGCCTCGCTCCTCACCACCCACGGACACACGGACGCACGGACACGCGGACACACGGACACACCGCTCTCGTGGGGGAGCTGCGAGCAGGGGATGAAGGCTGCACCTCCAGCCCCTGCGGTTCCCATCGGTGCCAGTTGCCACCTCCTTCCCCTGGAAACGCAAGCTCCTTTCTACTAGCTCCTTTCTGCTATTTTCCGCCCCGGTGCGGGAGCAGCCCTGGGTTATTCTCGCCCTCCTCTGACCGTGACCGTTTTCTCTCCCACCTGTGGACATGCTCCCACCACAAATCCCATATAATCCCAATAACTCGCCCTTGAAGCCCCCACGACAAGCAGCCTCCCCCAGCCAAGCCCCCTGGGGAAGCCCCCTCTCCCCGGCCTCGCAGTGCTAATTATTGCTGTTTTAATAAAGGTTCGTATTTCTTTGAGGACTCGCAGCCGCTTCCCGTTACAAAGTACAGTGCAGGCTGCGCTGAACACGGACAACACAAGACTAATTCACGTTGGGCTGGCACAAGGGAGAGGAGGTGCAGGGCCGAGGCTGGCCAGGGCAATCCCGGATCCCGCAGGCTCAGCCCACGAACCAACGAGCCACCGCCGCGGACGCGAGCAGTTCTGGTAAGCAATTAAGCCCCAGGTTTGTTTCAACTGACATTGGACGTTTTCCCAAATGCATACCACACATCTGCTTAACACTATCCAAAAAAAAAAAAAAAATTATTATTATTTTTTTTTTAACCTTTACCGCATTTGTCTCGAGAAGACTTTTGCTTTAATAAAATAACACAAGCACACAAACTGCTTAAAGCTAACAGCCCAGCACAATCATAAGTACAACTCACAAAGCGATGGATGCTTTGTTAAACCTAATTATATATATTTTATATATATATATATTAAAAAAAAAGCAAATATACATATTACAAGTCAAAAGACTAAGCTTTGGAGGAAAAGAAATTGAAAACGATGTTAGCCATATGCTCATTATGCTTACATAGCAGTAGCCGCTTCAGCATTGAAACGTGTTACTCGTAAGTGAATTTACAGTTGCATTAGGTATTTTTTTCGCTCTTGGTCTCACCAAGCCCATCTTCCACTACTCAGGTGTTAAAAGCTTGCCCTCTCCCGCAGCTGACCGTCGTGTGACAATACTCAGCAGCAATCACCCTCCAAAATCTGCCTGAGAGCTCGCTGTGTTTTAACTAAACTCGCTGTTATTTGAATGATTCTCTAGCTCCTTCTGTTTCCAGTGAAGGTACCCACAAGGAGAGTCCAGGCAGCAGTTCTTCAGTGGGAGATAAAAAAATAATCTCTGTGCATAGTCTCCGTTACTGAGGGATGCAAGAGCGCACGGGTCTTCTGCTCAGGATTTTGTGGGGATATATTTTGAGGGAGTGGAAAAAAAAAAAAAAAGATAAATTGATCCTTTTGCATGTTAAAGCTTATTTACTAGCTTCCATCCATTCATTTTCTGTGTGCGGTACAGTATATTCCACCGCAAGACTCCAGTTAGCTTGGAATTAAAATGCCTTTATTAAGCTTTAAATAGAGTGCATACCAATGGCATTATACCAGTGCTAATGAAACGCAGGCTCCCAGCAAATTTAAAATTAGATTGGTAATTCAGAGGTAACTGGAGCTGGGTCCTGCCCTCGTGTGTTTGGCAGCTCTGGGATCCCTCTGCTCGCTCTCTATCGGTTTGCACCTTAGCCAGGAAATCTGGCAAACGAAAAGGCAGCGGCCACGCAGGGTGGATGGAAAAGGCTCAGCGAGCTGTGGATGGCAGCAGTGCTTGCGGACAGGTTTTCCAAAACCTCCGTGTCCTTGGACAATCTGCCCTCAGGACTCTCACTGGCTTTCTTGGGGCTGCCCTACTGCTTGTGGGGCGAGCCCTGCAAGCCCCCAGCCATCCCTGCAGGGTAGAGCTGGAGCTCACCTGCCTTTTCCAGGCACCTCGCAGGTGCTGCCTGCTTCGCTTAAGGGAGAACACAGCATGAATTTACAACAAACATCGGCTCAGGGCTTTTGAGTGAGGTTAGGAAGCGCTTTCCTTGTGGCTTTGATTGCTCAGCACCGCTGGCCTGGCTACGTTAAGGGGCTGAGCTTCCCATGGAGCTCATCAAACATGATGTCTGCTTGGGATGCCGGCGTGCTCGGGATGTGCAGGACATCCCCACTCACCTCCAGGGGAGCTCAGCACCTGGGAAAGCCCCAAGGCTGCGGACCTGAGCCATGTTGATACAAAATTTCCCCTTATCTTTTAAGAAAGAGACTTCAGCATCACCTCTGGACACTGCAAGGTGCTCTCCTGAGTGAGCTGTGGCTCTGTCCCAGTGCCACCAAACAGAGGATGCTCGGGTAGAGCTGGCTGCGTGGGGATTTGCAGGACGGCCGTGATGCCAAGGAGACAGCTGTCGGTGGGACCACGAAGCACACGATGCGAGGGCAGCGGGCTGCAGCAGCCCAGGGGCACAGCAAGGTGAGAGCAGGCGTTTGGCACAGCAGGGGGACACTCCTGCACACCTCCGGCACCTCCACCTGAGCCTGAGGCCGTCCCAGTGCCCAAAATGCTCACCACGTGAAGCCAAACCCAAGCCAGGTTTATGAGGGCTGCGCTACTCCTCCCCTCGCTGTGCTTGGAAAGAAACCACCAGGATTTGTTCGGAGCAGCCCCTCTCATCTGCTGACGACAGTCACCGCTGGAATTAGACTTGATGACTGGCAAAGGGTTCTCCAGGAGGCTCAGGCGGTAGGTGCAGATCTTTCCATGACCATTTTGTGCTGCTCTGCACCACCCAGCCGCTGCATGGGGACGGGAACAGTCAGGAGGTGATGCTCACGCCAGGAGCAAGGGGCTGGTGGTGCCGGGGGGGCTGCAAAGCCAGTGCTTGGGGCAGTGAGCGGGGTCTGACTTTGTCATGCAGTGCTGGTGGAATCGGGGTACCCTGCAAGGGGCACAGCATACAGATGGATCTGTCAAAGCCGGTTCAGCTTCACGACATCACATTGTGATCTGCACCGTGGTCTGCTGGCTGGAATTTCTGGCTCCACGTTCAGGGACTGAAGCGGCAGTGTCCACTCATGTCTTCACGCACAGCCTTGTCTCCTCTTGGTGACAGCAGCTCTGGGCACTCTGGACATCCTGCTCCCCATCCCTCTGCCGCCATGCAGGCATCTGAGGGTTTCTCAGTAAAAAGCACCCCAGTCGGGGCAGGATCAGCAGCATCTCACAACCTTCTCCGTCTTCTTCAGAAAGCACAAACGTGGCAGCCAGCCCTCCCCTCCGGACACTGGGTGCACAGGACGGAGCTGGGAGCAATGGGATGGATTTCTTCCAGAAAGACACAGGTCACAGAGCCGCACAAGTGAGCATTACAGGAAGAAATTTGCTCAGCAGCAGGTGGCTGAGTGGCGAGGACTCGCTTCAGCACATCCCTGGGACCTGGCGTATGGATGGGGGAACGCAGCAGGCCACATTTTTGGCAGTGCCTCTTCTCTCCTGGGCATCACGAGCAGGTCCTGCAATCACCAGCAACAGTTCACGCCTTTTAAAGGAAATCCCAGTAACCCAATGGTGCTTCCGTGTCTGTGGGATCTGGTGGAATTGATTCCAGGTTTGGCTTTTCGGACAGGGTATGGAGGTTTCATTACAAAGGCACAGGTATCAAATAAAACCAGCGTCATTCTTTTAATTAAATACCCCAATAAAAAATTAACGCTCAATTTAGGCTTTACGCATTCCTCCCTTATTAAGAGACTAGTTATTTTTTTTTCCCCCTCCGGAAAGGTTTTAGTGCAGTGATTATATAGAAACAGAAAAATAAACTAAAAAAGGCACAAACTGTTTTGTGTTTTCTTTTTTCTTTTTTTTTTCCCTTTCACTTTCGCTAACACTTTATATTCGTCTATTTTCCTTAGGTTAATAAATCACCGAAAGCAGCAAGAAAATATTCCGCCAATTTCTGTACACTATACAAAAACCCCAACCAACAGTACATGATTTCGGCTCCAGGAGAAATGTACAGCATTAGAAAGACTTTTAAAAATAGAGTGCCCCATACAGAAATTTTGTTAATTAATTAAACTCGCAGCCTCTTATTATTACAGCGCCCTTCCCCGGCCTCCTTCTCCCCCCCCCACCCTTATTGCTGGGACCACGCAGCGGGACGGGGCCGCCTCCGGCACAGGGGGGTGCAGGGGGATGCAGCCCCCCGGGGGCAGGATGCGGCCCCCTCCCCAGCCATCCCCCTCCACAGCTCTCCCACGCACCGTGATGCTCTCGTGGCATTTGTGGCTCGATCCTCTCACCAAGTTCATCGTGAACATTATTTTTTTCCACCCCCCTCCCCACACGCGTAATACTTTGTAAAATAGGAACTCCCCCCCGCCCCTCCCCAAGGAACTAAGTTAAAGGGTTTTTTCCCTTTAAATATATTAACATAGCTGAGCCCCCTCCACCCACCTCCAATTAAGTGCAGCCAGAAATGTGTTTTCTTTATATTTCTGATACCATGTTTTAAAATTAAAACCTACTGGTCTTTCCCCTTCCCCCTCCCCCCCCCCACCCCAAGACGTAATTCATGCAGAGTTGCTATTTGTTTAAATAAGTTATAAAAGTTGATATTTCAGGCTAGAAGAAGCTGTAGTCTTGGTTACTCTTTAGTTGGCAGGCACTGTACATACATACTGGGTACAGACACATGCCGGATCTGCTTTGCATTGCTTTTTGCATTGTACAATTCACAAATCTGACATCATTAAAGCGGTTAATTACCTTTTATGGCAGGCTGCAGTGAGGCCATCTACACGTATCGAACAAGCAGCTGGTTAAGATAATAAGTGTGTGCCCCCCCCCAGCCCCCACCCCCCTCCCCAGCTCTCCCCAAAATGCTATTATCTGTCACACGTTGCTTCTCTGAAGTGCTCGGATGTGGCGCGCACATGAATGTGCAAATGGGTTGCCATAGGAACTGCAGCCTCCATTATGCCTCAATGACACCATTCAGCAAAAGCCAAAACTGAAAATAATAACAGAAATTAAAAAAAATAATAATTATAATAATAAAAAAAAAAGAAACCAAAACCAACCCCAAAAGAACCCACCCCAAAAGGCAGCAAAGTCCAACGCACATGCGGAGTCTGGCCCGGGGAGTGCAGGCTACGCGTGGCTACGGAGGAGCGCAGAGCTGGGTAGGGTTGATTGATCTTCACGTCACGCTATGTTACAACGGGGCTCCGAGTCCGAACGGGTCGAGTCTTGTTTGCTGGCGTAGGAAGGAGGATGAGGATGGAGCGGAGTCGTGGTTACGGGATGCGCCGAGGGTCCCTCGGACGTTTGGCAGAACGAGGCACATCCACAGAAAGTGCAACACCGGTGCCGTGGCGGCAGTGCGATGCGTCAGTGCGTGCACACGCTTCCTCTTCATGCATTGTAGCAAGCGGGTTGGGCTGGGGGGCTTTCCCCCCCGGCTCTTTCTTTGAAAACGATTAACCAGTAAATAAGGGTAAGACGAATGCATATTCTATACTTACTGGTGCATGAAATACTGAAATCTGCATTCAAGTAATTTTTCCTCTGCGCTATTACGAATGCGTCGCTGTGTTATCTTACATCTGGAAAAGGAAAAGACTATGTACACCGGAGCTGTGGTGCTGTCTTGCAGGCAAGTTTCTGTGCTTTATGTCGGTACCTGGGGAGGAAGGGCTGCAGGTCCGCGGCCCCGTGCACGGAGACGGCAGGACTGCCAGCATCGCCCCCTCCAGCACGCGAGGGAGCGGCGCCCAGTCCTGCCACCCGGCTGCACGGAGCAAACTAAAAATGAGATGGGGGAACAAGGGTGGACAAAATTGGCAAATAAACGGCGACGAGAAATAGAAGGGCGATTTATTATTATTATTATTATTTTTTGGAGGGTGGAGGGAGGAGGGAGGAGAGAAAAAAAAATAACTTTTTCGCCTGGTGGGTTGGGTTTTTTTTTTTTTATTCTTCGCGCAGCTGCAGGCGGTAGCGGTGGTAGCGAAGCTGGAAGAACATTCTCTCCAGCAAGGAGTGCGTCATCCCCGGCAGGGCGTAATGTTCAACCACTCCCACGTGCTTGAAGCCCAAGGACTCGTACAGCTTGTGGGCCGCCATCTTCACGGCCGTGGTCCCCAGTACGACGGAGGAGTAGTTGTTGAGCATGGCAAACTCCAGCACTTTGCGGCCCAGGGCCTTGGCGATCCCCTTGCCGCGGTAGTTGGAGTCGACGGACATGCGGCGCAGCTCCACCGTGTTGTCCTCCTCGTTGCCCCGCGCCGCCACGATCCCCACCACGTTGCCGTCCAGGACGGCCACCCAGAAGCAGGAGCCTGCGGGAGACAAAGCACCACATGTAGCCGCCGGCGGCGCCGGGGTCGGAAATCATCCCTTGGTCCTGACTTACAGGCAGTCACAGCTCTCCTGTCCTGCCAGCAGACCTCTCTTCAGTGAACCCTGGCCCAGAACAGGCCCTTGGCTGCTTGTCACAACCCCCCAGACCCAACCGTGGCACACGAGGACCAGCAATGTGGTCGTTCACTTTGCTGCCCAACTCCTCCTCTACTCCGAGTTGTATTTCCACCTGAATGCCTCAACATGCCGTGGTGGCATCACATCCAGCTGCTTGGGCTGGCCAACCAACGTGAAAGCCAATGAAATTAGGAATTACTGCTACTCCAGAGCATTGCAGCACCACCCGGCCCCACCAGCAAGGCAATTTAATAAAAACAAGTGCAGTTAAAGGAACAAATTACTTGGGCCTTAACTCAAGATCTTCAGATAGCATCCTGGTGAAGGAGGTGCCTTGAATTGACCCAAGAAGATTCATGCTTTCAGCACAGGACAAACGTGATTTCACCTCAGATGTTGCTCAATTAACACCCAAGAAAACCATTATCCAATTATATCAGCTAATGAGGGACACACTATGACAAAACTCTTGCCCAGAAGGAAAGCACAGACTTTAGCTGCTCGGGAGGAGCAAGGCTTTACCCAGAGACAACCGACCAGAGGAGAGACCCCTGTCACTGTGACCTGCAGGCAGACATTGGCTTTCTCCTTCCTACAGCAGGAGACAACTTGATTTTGGCTGTGGCTCCACCTTTAGCACAGGGATTGATGCTGCAAACTGCCCTGCCTGAAGGCAGAGCCACACCAGGATCCATAGAGCCACAGGGGTGGGAGCTCAGGAGCACACAGCAGGCACCAAAATGGGGGGAAATTGAATAAATACAGTAAGTCCCCAAGTCTTGTAGTACCTGGGGAGAGCAAAGCACGGGGCGTGAGGCTTTGGGGAGGTGGATATGAGCCATGGCTGAGCAGCTGAAGAGCAGTCAGGCACAAAACAAAGCACCCGGGCTAAATCCTTGCCACCGGGCCCAGACACACACAGCACCAGCACTCGCTTTGGCTCCCACCGCCAGCAGCCATCGCGCTGTTGCTATCTAGGTCAACAGCTAATTTTTAACACACTGGGACCCATCTTGACCCATTTATCACAAGCAGTTAAAACATCTCCTTGCCGCTACTGTGGTGACAGTGCCGCTTGTTCCCCTGCATTTGCCCAAACCTCACAACGTAATTTAGTCAGACAAGGCCCGGACGAGGCCTAGGAGTGCTGAGGGCCAGCAGCTGCTTTCCCTCTGTGTATAAATCAAACAGCTCCACCAGCTCATGGCTCTCTGTTGTTTTTAAGAGTGCATTTTGTGTGGTTGGTGACCCTGTGTCACATAGCAGTACCCTGCCAACCCTCCATCATCCACCCACTGCCTCTCCAGGTGCATCCCACCTGGTGCAGCCCAAAAAAGTTCCACACAGCAGCCAGTCCTTGCCACCTTGCTCCTGGGGCTGGTCCTTCAGCATGCTTGGCTTGTCCTCCCCAAGACAGAGACACCCATCTGTGCATCTACCAGCACTTCTCCCCACATTCATTAATACTTTTCCCTTCCTAACAAGCCCCATGTGTGCCCAAGAAGCCAACTTACTGCTAAAGCTTACTTGGCAAAATGCTTCCAAGGTTTGTAAGACAACACATTTCCCGAATTTTTAGGATTTTTGCCTATTTTAAGACCAAACCTGGACACATCTGCCATGGCAGAGCCCACCAGCTCTTCACAGTCCTCCGACGTGCCCAACCCCACACCAAGCACCAGCCCCACTGCTAGCAGCATGACAGCAACGCTCACATCTTGTTAGTTTTTACTTGCAACTTTAAAGCTTAATTATAATGATTTCAAGTTCAACATGAAAAGAAATAGTAGCTGGCACACCTCCCGGTGTGTGTTGTGCATGAAACGCTTATAATTAGCGCCAGACAGGACACATCTGCTCAAACAATGCAAGTTGTATTCAGCTCCCGTTTGCACCGGCGTGAACAGTCACCAGGACTTTCAGGGCTCCGTGCCCACGGAGGACTGCCTTCCACCAGACCCCCATCCTGCAAAAACATGCCGGGATCCTGAAGGCAGCTGCGAGCCCAGCACCGGCTTCCCCTTGCGGGGTGGCCAAATCCTTTCTCCCCAGGGAGCCATGCTCCTCACCCATGGGGATTTGCTGTTTTGGGCATCCCCATGCACGCTGCTGATCCCCAGATGATGCTCTGAGAAAACTCCTCAAGTTTCAGAGAAACTGAAACTTTTTGGTTTGCTTTTTGCCTGAACTCACTTTTTTTTTTTTTTTTTTTTTTTACCGTTCCCAGCCAGCTGCAGCTCCTCACCGAATTCCCTCCTGCAGCAGCACCCACATCCTAACCCCTAAGGTCTAGGGGAGGATCTCCTGCCCATCTTTTTGGGACCGAGGGGCCTGAATCAGAGCCCACCTCGATTTTGTACTTCTTCATACCAAGGATGAAATGAAATTACCTTCCCTTCACCTGTCAGCAGAAAGCAGCAGCCCGGCTGCCAGCAGTGCTATTAATAGCGGGCGCTGACGGTTTATGCTCCCGAACTGCGATCTGAAAATAATCACGGCTGCAAGATAAACACACACCCCGACGGCTGCGACTCCCCCTGCCCTTCAGATGCTCATCTTGTGCCAATGTTCACCTTCGCTCTCATCCCCTCCATCTCCCGGCATCCCCCCATCACTCATCGGGACATACACCCAAAGCCCTTTCAGCTCCCACTGCCCCACACTGCTCTCCAGGTTCCTGACCCTGTAAGACCACCACAAAGGGCTGCTCTTCACAGGCACATTTAACTCTAGCTGCAATATCCCTGTGCCACAAGCTCCTCGTATATCTCCAGAAATGCCAGCTCATCACACCCAGGCCTCCTGTTTGGACTCAGCCTTGCTGCAAGCCCCCTCCACACCATGTCCATATTTCCCATGAGAACAACTTCAGTGTAGCACCTTCCCCTAAAAAATACCCACCCAACGTGCCTCCATGCTTTACCATACAATGAGGCTTCTGCTGCATTTAAGACCATGAATCACAGAAAAAAGCTTAGTTTGGGATTAGAAAACCAGCATACAGTGGCACGAGCTTTATAAGAGGAAGGATGCTTTGCTTGCAAGCAAGAGTTTAGAGGCCAGTTGTCACACAAGACCTACAAAAGGCACTGTAAAATAAAGCAAAGCCAAGGCTCCTGTGTCTCCCACCTCCCTAGAGCTATATGAAATAGCTGGGATGGCAAAAGGCCAGCAGTTCTGCCTTATCAGCAAGTAAGTTAAACCAAGCAGCTGGCTACCAACTTGGACTTCACCACCGTGAAGCCTCCCGGTCCTACAGGCCCATCACTTAAGATATATTTTATTTACTGCACCCAGAAAGCCACGGTAACAGTGGAATTACTGTAAGAAAAGCACAGCAATGAGCTGGTGGGGAGAATAACCTACAAAGGTTGGCCGTGGTTCTTCAGCTGAGGACACAGCTCCACTGCTCTCGCAAGCCTCTCCTGTCATGAGCTGCACGGCGCTCCCCCACACAGCCGACAGGGATGGTGGGTGAAAATCAGTTCATTTATTTTTTGCTGCAAATTCTTCTACACCCCTAAGGGAATAAAAGGCCGGTGGGTGGATGGGTGGAAAGATTGGAACCGAAAGCAATAGCAGAGAGTACTGCTAGAGGAGAGGAAAATGAGACATCAGCCTTCCCCACCACCCGGAGCCCTACAGGATTAAATACCACGGGTTCCTACTGCTCTCCAGCGTCCCACAGTGCTCAGGGACAGCTACGCCTAAAACCAGAATTTAATGGCAAAGCAAAGCTCTGACTTGGCTTTTTTGCTGATGCGACAGAAAACACGCACATTTGGGGATTTTTTTTAAAATCCATCTCTTCCTATTAAATTTCCAGGGGAGCTGGCAAAGCCCTGCTGCCCCAGAACTGCCTCTCTGTGCTGGTGCTCAGGGCACAGAGCCAGAGCAAACCCATCGCTTCCCTTCAAGGGGCTGGGGATCAGCTACCACCTACTGCTGGTGCCAGTTTTGGGGGGTTCACCCCCCTGGAATAGTTTTCGGCAGGAGCTCACCCCATTGGAAACCTCACCCTGAAGCAGACCGGCCTTTTCCCTCTTTCTTCACGGAAGGCACTGCTATGGCTGCAGCCCTGTGGCTGAGCTCTGATTTCACATCCAGGCAGCACACAAGCCAAGCAATTGAACTGAGAGCAGGCTGGGTGCATGCACGCTGGTTTCCAGCCTTTTCCCCTTTGCAGCAGCTCCAGGAAGGAGCAGATGCCCAGGGAAGAGGCACTGCCAGCTCGCACCGCCAGCAAAATGAGGGCAACTCACCCTCTTTCAGAGGTGGCGACTTTCACGGCTACTTGTTGAATGTCCCTTCCAGACAGACATGATATCCCTTCAAGCACAGTTTAGAAGGATTGTGATTTTCGGTTCTGCTTTAGTGTGTCACCACGGCACAGATGTGAGCAATTCTCCTCCTGGCTCGGAGCTGTCGCAGGCAACATCCTCAGAGCACCCTCTGAGCAGGGAGACAGAAGGATGCTGATGGCATGGGAAACTCTGGCCGGGCCTCCTCAGCATTAAAAACTGCAAATCCACATCCCTGGCAGAGATGGGACTTGCAGCTGTGCTGTGGGAGGAGGTGGAGGTCTCAGTGTGCACCTTCAGCGCTGGCTGGGAGGAGCAAGAGCCTCGCCTCGCATTGCAGCATTGCAAGCCCCCATCCTCAATCTTCCCCTAGGTCACTAAGGTAGGGGGAAAAGGGCAAAAAACAAACAAAAAAACCAACCCAGCACTTCCCATGGGGCAGGATCTGCAGCTCCTCACTCATATCACACACAAAAGCCTGCCAAAACTGACAGGCTTGCTAATCCCAGCTGCAAAACCTAGATGCCCCGAACTCCTTGCTACAACCCACTGCCATCCTG